CCCCTTCCTAGGCTGGCCCTTGAAAAGGGAGGGGGGGGGGGTTAGCGTTTAGGGTTTAGGGCTTAGAGTTTAGGGTTTAGGGTTTGGGGTTTGGGGTTTAGGGTTTAGGGCCTAGGGTTTAGGGATACTCGGGCTACGATGGCCTGTTAAACCCTCTGAACAAATATTCCTGAATGTGATGCTCTTAAACCCCAAAATGGAAAAACAAAAAATAGCCCCAAGGGCCTAAACCCTAGACCCTAGACCCTAGACCCTAGACCCTAAACCCTAAACCCTAAACCCTCCTAGCTTCGCCGTGGGCCCAGTCCGCCGGCTTCCTCCCATCGATGTCGCTGGCATCCGCTTCAGCACCAAAGGCCAAGAGCGCATAGGAAACCTTCCGCAAGTCGAGCAATCATTCTTAGGGTTTAGGGTTTAGGGTTTAGGGCTTTAATGTAGCTTCAGCGGCGCCTAGGCTAGTCTAGGCTCTATGGGTGCAAATGGGCCCCTTCTCTGTCTCACTCGCTCTCTCTCTCTCACACACACACACACACTACTTGGAGGCTCATGGTACTTATTAACCAATCGTAACGAGCTTGTTTAGGGGCTTAGGGTCTAGGATCTAGAGTTTAGGGTTCACTTGGAGGTTCATGGTACTTATTACCCCCAATTGCAACTGTACTTCTAACCCACTCATAAGCCCTTAAGTGCCCCCAACATGGCTAGAAGTACAGTTAGAAGTACAGTTATAATTGGTCTTTAAGTTACCATGAACCTCCAAGTACCTTGGCCCCTGTATCCAAATGCCAGCCTAGCTTGGCGGCAGACCTCCTGCAACCCTTTTTAACCTCAGCACCCAAATTCGTGGAAGGGCGTGCAAGAGTCAGACCATCTCTTCTTGTGTTGATCATGATGCGCCCCCCCCCCCCCGATAGCCAGAACCTAAACCTGCTCTCTCATAGCCTGCCCGTCCCTTGGCCCTCAACCCGAAGACCGTATAAACCAACAGAAGGCCCCAACAGGACGAAGCACCAGAAGACTCCAAACCCCAAATCCGAAACCCTAGTTCCCTAAGCCGCTAATTCCATAATTCCATAACTCCCCTAAATCCTGAACCCCAATTCCCTAAATCCCTATAATTCCCCTAGAATTCCCTAAGCCGTAATTCCTTAATTCCCTAAACCCTAAACCCTAAAACCCTAAACCCCTAAACCCCTAAACCCTAAACCCTAAACTAACCCTAAACCCTAAACCCTAAACCCTAAACCCTAAACCCTAAACCCTAAACCCTAAACCCTAAACCCAACCTCGGAGTGGCCCCGGGAAGCCCAGTGCAAGGGCGTCTGCCCATCGCTGTCACGGACATGCACGGAGGCACCCGCAGACAGCCTACTTAGGGTCTGGATAAGGTTTAGGGTTTAGGGTTTAGGGTTTAGGGTTTAGGGTTTAGGGTTTAGGGTTTAGGGTTTAGGGTTTAGGGTTTAGGGTCGGGATAAGGTTTTTTTGCCGCCCGCCTACCTGAAATGTACGTTGATAAGGCCTAGGGTTTAGGGTTTCGGGTCTGCAGAAGGTTTAGGGTTTCGGGTTTACGGAAGGGCTCAGTGTTTAGGGCTTGCGCAAGTTTTGGGTACCAAGGCTACGGAGACTTGCAGGGGTTTTGGGTTTAGAAAGGTTTTGCGTAAGAAGTTTTGGGTTTTAGGGCTTAGACAGCAGCCGGCCGTAAAGATTCTGGAGAAGTTTGGGCTTTGGTGTGGTGGGTTTACAAAACCCTAAACCCTGAATTCTAAACCCTAAACCCTAAACCCTAAAACCCTAGAACCCTAAACCCTATACCTAAACCCTGACTTCTAAATGCTCAAATGGTCGTGATGGGTTCTTAGGACTCAGGCTCCCCGCAGCTGCCAGGTTGGAGGGCTTTGCCAGATGTTTGCCGTTTTTGGTAAGGTTGAGGTAGGGTTTAGGGTTTAGGGTTTAGGGTTTAGGGTTTAGGGTTTAGGGTTTTAGGGTTTTAGGGTTTTAGGGTTTTAGGGTTTAGGGTTTAGGGTTTAGGGTTTAGGGTTTAGGGTTTAGGGGTTTAGGGTTTGGGGTTTAGGGTTTAGGTTTGGGTGAAGGGTTTAGGTTTGGGGTTTAGGGTTTTAGGGTTTTTAGGGTTTTTAGGGTTTTTAGGGTTTGCGGTTGAGAGTTTAGGGTTTCGGGTTTAGGGTTTCGGGCTACGTGCTCGCCGAAAGGATGTACAAAGGGTCCCCAAATCGGGCTGAGCAGCAGCAGTTCCGTGCAAGCCACGTGCCCCGAAAAAGCTGCCCAATGCAGGGGAGTCATGCCCCAGGAATCTGCTTTCTCAGGGTCGGCGCCCGACATCAAAAGCAAGTAGGCCACCTTCGAAACAAGTGAAAACCCCTAAGCCCTAAACGACTAAACCCCAAACCCCAAACCCTAAACCCTGAACCCCAAACCCCAAACCGTTTTAAGCCTCAACCCTGGACCCCAACGAGAAGCTCTTGGTTGCAAGCCTCGAAATCCAACTCCCAATGCCCGAGAGGCACACACACGCACACACACAAACACAAAAGACCGATCCGGGGTTTAGGGGTTTAGGGGTTTAGGGGTTTAGGGGTTTAGGGGTCCAGGGGTTTAGGGGCTTAGGGGTTTAGGGGTTGTATAGGGATTGGGGTTTAGAGTTTAGGGTTTGGGGTTCGGGGTTCTTGCTTCCGGCCTCCGGTGCGTCTGCCTGCACTGCCAGATGCAAAGGCTCTTGTCCGTTGTCATCAGTTCCGGCGGCAGCCGCATGAGACTGCAGAAGCCTGCGTTCTGTGTTGACGAAGGCGATTTTCGTTCGGGCCGGTTCCAGAGAAAGCGGCTCTGTTTCTTGGGCACCCTGGACTACGGAATGAACAAAAACAAGTGCTGGAGCCCGACAACCCTAGACCCTAAACCCTAAAGCCTAAACCCCACACCCCAAACCCCAAACCCTGAAGCCTAAACGCTAAACCCGAAACCCTGGTATTCGGCAGCAAGGGTGCCCTCGCTTTAGGGACTTCGGGTGGCGCGTCATGGCCAGGCTCCCAGGAATCCAGTCCTCCCCCCCCGCAATAACACCCTAAACCCTAAACCCTAATTCCTACAGGGCTTTCGGGTCTGGCTGTAGGCTGTGGCCCTCCACCAAGAAACAAAGATGTGGCTTGCACGTGGCCGCCGAGAGCAGCCAGATGTATCGGGCGCTGACCACGATAGTCGGCCTCGTCTGCAGATGCCTGCGCCAGGGTTCAAGGCTTGGAAAGCAGCATGACTTTATAAGGTAAGGGTGCGGTTCAGGGTTCAGGGTTCAGGGTTCAGGGTTTACGGTGCTACGCTTGCGTGAGCAGCCGAAACCATGCCTAAACCAGAATTTTCCAAACCCGAAACATGCACTCGGCCCTCAACTTGGGATGTCCCCCCTTATAGTAACAGATACTAACAGTCCTTCATAGGGATTGTAGTACCCCCCTATTATACTCCCGATGAAGGAGCTGTTGAGGCGCCGCCTCCTTTGAGAGAAGCCAGGCCAGTGCTTCCTCGTGGCCGTTGCCGCTGGCGCCATGGAGAGGCGTCCGCCCGCCCGAGTCCCGGGAGTTGAGATCCCCGCTCTGGTCCTGGGGTTTAGGGTTTAGGGTTTAGGGTTCAGGGTTCAGGGTTTAGGGTTTCTCTAAAACCCCTCAAAGGAGGTAAAGGCCCAAAAATCCCGGAAAAGCCTGGAAAACCCTCTAAAAAAATCCTTCAGAGGAGGTCAACCGAGGAGCCAGCAGCAGCGCTAGCTTGTCCGTCCGCCCCCGAGCCGCCCAGCCGTAGAGGCCGGCAGAGGCCGAAGCAGAGAAGTTGCCTGGGCTGGCGGCTTTTAACGGGTTTAGGGTTTAGGGTTTAGGGTTTGGGGTTTGGGGTTTGGGGTTTAGGGTTCAGGGGGGTTAGGAACCCCGTAAAAATGTGTATATCTTGTGTCCCTTATACGTCTACGGCAGGAAGGTGTGTATATCGTGTGTCCCTTATACACCCAAATCAGGAAAAATATGTATATCTTGAGTCCCTTAGGGTTTATGGTTTAAGGTTTGGGGGTTAGGGGGTTTGGGTTTAGGGGTTACGGCGGTTACGGTTTAGCTGGGGGTTCGGAACCCTAAAAAGCGTGAATATCTTGGATCCCTTCTACACCCAAGTAAGGAAAAAACGTGTTTTGCCAGTGTCTTGGATCCAAGGAAAAGAACAAGTATCCCAAAAGCCAACCTAGCTGCTGCAAATCACCCGGGTGGGTATCAGAAGCAGGGCCCACTCGAAAATCCTGAGTGTGCTTGAAACCATGCCTCACTGCGCTCTGATCAGCCCGGAAGCAGCCCACGTGAGAGCTGCGGACGTCTGAGAGCAGACTGCTGCGTCTCATGGCGCAGCGGCGCGAGGACATGAACCGCCCCCGAAAGCCGAAGCAAAGTAGCTACATGCGTTTGGTGCTCTGCTAAGTCTCAGAATGCCCCGTCAAGTAGTCAACTTCGAGGTGAGACCGGATTCTTTGCTTTTCGAGTTAGCATGGGAATGTTTTATAAAACATGAGGCTAATGTTTTATAAAACATTAGTTAGCGTGGGAATGTTTTATAAAACATGAGACGGATGTTTCTTTTGACTCCTGCAGTAGGTGGTAAAAACTGCTCGGGCCATCATCTGACACATGTGGCCAAGCTTGAGTTCGGCAGCTAAGGTGAAGGGTATGTGTATATATATATATGTATTTATTTATTTATTGATTATATACATGCACACACTTTTGAAGTTTCATAGGCAGAGTTAAAGTAAGGGTTAAAGGTAAGACAACCAAAACTATAACCTTCTTTGGGGGCACTCGTAACATTACTTCTAAGTACCCATTAACCTTCGAGTCGGGTTCAGGGTCGAAGTCCCAGGTTTGAGGACTTGAACGCAACAGCGACGCTTATGGTAGGGACTTTGGCGGAGGAGTTGCCAAGGGGAAGCAGATTTGGTCACATAGACAGGTTCTTCAGTTCTTGTCATACCCTAAGCCCTAAACCCTAAAACTGAAGGGGGCAAAATGGCCCAATTGCCTTCTTCTTCATCTTCGCGGCGATGGCGGCTGGAAGGGCAACACCTTTCACAAGCCGAGCTAGAGAGGGTTTAGGGTTTAGGGTTAGGGTTCGAAACCCCGAACATCCCCAAAACCAAAAGTTGTAACCCTGATTCTCTTCCCTTGCAAGAACCAGGAGTGAAAGAATGTGCCTTTTTTTACTCCGAATCCCCTGTCAGACTCAAAACCTGAAACCCCAAACCCAACGCCAAATATCTTAAACCCTCCAGAAAGCCGAAGTTTAGGAAGTTTAGGGGTTAGGGTTCCGTAGCCCCACTCAGAAACTTCTCACAAAAGGCTAAACCCTAAACCCTAAACCCTAAAGCCTAAACCCTAAAACCCTCAAGGACTGGCCTCCGGAAAGTTTGAAAAGGTGAAGATCCAGTTAGGGTTTAGGGTTTAGGGTTTAGGGTTTAGGGCAGGAGCTTAAGACTCTTTTGAAACCAGGCCTGTTTGAAACCCTATAGACGCTAAAGCTCTAACCCTAACCCCCAAAACCCAAATGCCTGGGAGCTTGAGACCCCAAAACAATCCTAAAACCGTTAACCCTAAGGCCCTAAGGACCATACCTAAACTAACCACAAAAAAACACCAGGTGGGTTAAGAGTTAAGAGTTCGGAGATGTTTGGGACAAAAAGGCTCGATCCGTTTCGCAGAGTAGCCACTGCCATGATACTGTATGATCAACTTGTGCTGAAAGACTCTACTTTTTGAGCACACTGCGGCGCTGAGCTAGGAAGGACATGGACACGACTTATCTCAGGTTTGGGCCAGGGTAGGGATTCTGGTATTCCATCGCTGCAAGGACTGCAACCAAGCTCCGGACGTGCAGGTGCAACCGGTTTTGGTGGCGCGGCCACGGCTGTCCCGGCGGCTGCTGCGGCTGGGTCTGCTGGGCCCGTAGCCGCTGCAGGCTGGGATGGCAGGCCGGCAGATGCAGCATTCACAGCGGCAAGGGCTTCCTCCAGGAATTCGCTCGCGTGACAAGCAAGGCAAGACTCACTGCAGGACGTGAGCTGCACTCGGCTCGCAGCCTGCTTCTGCAGCTTCGTTGGTGCAGCGCGCACCTGTCACCAGCAGCTGATTCACATGGCCTACTTCTTGCGTGAAGTCTTCCTGTAGACTGAGGTGCTGTTTGCATATTCCTTGCCAGGGTCTTCAAGCTGCACCAACCGTTTCACCTTTCCTGGAATGCCCTGCAATGTGCGCCACAACCTTCATTGACTCGAAAGTTCAACAGCTCAAGCCAGTGCTATGGAGTTCGCTCTATCAGACGACCAGAATGATTGAAGCAAAAACCCTAAACCCTAAACCCTATAAACCCTAAACCGCATGCTGCTACTTCGGTGGGCAGGGAACCGGATCGATCCTCGTGCTGCATGAAAAAACAAACGACAACCGAAGCACTCTGAGTCGCACCACGGGAAGCCTGAACCCTATAAACCCTTCATGGGTACTTATCAGTAGGGCTAAAAGCAAAGTAACCCATATCATAGGTACTTATAGCCCTGCTTCTAGCCACCCATGAACCTTCAAGTGATTCCCCTAAGCCCCAAACCCTACTTATATGAACCTTCGAGCCCTAAACAGCTCATGTGTTGCCTTCGTCGCCAGCGCGTACGCCTTGCCCGAGCAATCCTTCATGAGTTTCAAGGCGCGGGACAACCCCCATGGGATGTTTTCGAGTTTAGGGTTTGGCTAGGTTGCCCAGTAACCTAGGAATAAAAAGGGTGCCCTTTTTTTGCTTAAAAGGGGTTTATAAGGGAACCTAAACCCCCAAAAAAAGGGAATAAGGGTACTACTGGGCATCCTAGTTGGGGTTTGCGGTTTCGGGCTGCTACACCAAGCGCCTCGGAAGCTTTGGTTCCATCAAGCCGAGTTGCATATGCAATGACTTTCCCTTGCTCGTCCCGATGCAGCGCTTTTACACGCGTCGTGACCCACTTGCCTGCACAAGCAGCGAGGACAAACAAGGTTAAGGAGTTGGGTTCCGCAAGCCTAAACCCCAAACCCTAAGCACCGAAACCGATCGGCCCTAAATCCTCTTCAGCCCCTCCCCCCCCCTCCCACCCCCCCCCCCCCCACCCACCCCCACCCCCACCCCCTCCCCACCCCCACCCCCCCTGTTTGAAAAAAGCCCTGAACATCCTGGCCGTAAAGGCCAGCCACTGCTGCGGAGGTGGGGGCCTGCTGGGGATCCATCATAAACTCCCCAAAAGGCACCTAAACTTACCCAAACCCTGAGAATTAGGCAGTTTGATGCTTTGGGCTTCGGTCTCTGTGGGCTATCGTGCGTTGACTTATGACGGATTCCGCTTGCAAGCGCGGATCCAAAAAGGTTTGAAGAAGCACCGAAGCACTGACTCGATAAGGTTATAATGATGGCTGCATGTCGTGGCAACTGAAGTGCCTCGACGCAAAATTGCCGTAAAACTTGAAGAATAGCGTTCAGGCTCTTGGTCTTGCTGCTAGCCCGAAGCTTCCTAAACCCTAAACCCTAAACCCTAAACCCTAAACCCTAAACCCTAAACCCTAAACCCTAAACCCTAAACCCTAAACCCTAAAGAGCTGTGCGACAGGCAGCCTTTGGTAGAGCTCCAGTATTGCCTCGGCAGGCGTTTAAGCGACCCTCTCGGTGGTTGGGTGAGGGTGCACAGTCAGCCCCTAAACCCTAAACCCTAAACCCTAAACCCTAAACCCTAAACCCTAAACTCACCTCTTCAACCCTCAACCCTTGATTCAAACCCTTTTTGAACACTGAGCTCTGTCCATCCTAAACCATAAACCAATCCTGAACCAGAACGGCAGTTCCAAACTCGCAGATCCCACAAGGGCCAAGTCGATGTCGGCCACAGCTCCATCGACGAATCGATGGTTTTCTGTTTGTTTTTGGTTTCTTTTTGTTTTGGGGGGGGGGGGGGGGGGGGGGGGGGGGCGGAAGGCATGAGTTGAGGCTTCCAGGTCCCCGGATTAGAGATTAGAACCTTAGGATGAACTTAATGAGCTACCGTCAGCGCCCGATTCTCCGTAGGCATACACGCGTGAAGGGTGCAATGTGTTGAGCCCCATTGCCTGCGCCCTTGCCCCAAGAAGGGGCATAAGGTTCTAGGGAAGCGAACCTCCAGCAGACGGTTTTAGTGTTCCGCGAAAGCCGTGTGAAATCAGCGGCCGAGGAGCACCACACTGCCGACAGCAAAGACAGGACCCTCGCGCTGCCTGGCACAGGAGCGAAGGGTTTTGGGTTTAAGCGGCCGGACGCCCTCCCGACCCGTTGTAAAGCTTAGACTCAACCTACCCCCAAATTGTAGTCCCTCATGAGTACCGTTTTTTTTGGCTGGAAAACTATAAATCTTCCATTGGTAATTAACCCTGAGTTTTTAGGGAGGCGGTGATTTACTTTCTAGTTCTGAGATGTTCTGAGTAGTAGTGAATTCAGGGGGATATAGGCTACCTGCCCTAGTTCCCGATTAGTTAGTCTCACGTGCACTGAACAAGACATCAATTTTTGATAGGCCCTACTACACACTCCCCCTTTTTTAAAAACTGCCTGCGCCGAGCACATAAAGTAGCAGCAGTCTAGCAATTTTGTCACGAGCAAAGCCTGCCTGTTACAGGCAGCCACATACCAAAGCGTGTCAGAGTCAAACAGGCCGGAAGATCCGTTTCCACTGTGTTTTCTTCAAGCCATCTTGACCCTGAGCTTGCAGATCCTGCCCTGTCTTTGGGGCGGAGGCCTGTGAGCTTAGATGCGAGCTTTGGTGGCGCTGGGGATCATTCGGCGCATGGCTCTGTCGTTGTCTGGACTCTTTCGCAGCCTGTGGCTGCGAGCCAGGTATGAAAGGGTGCAGCTGTCGCTGCTGCGGCTGCTGCTGCGGCTGCTGCTGCTGCCGCTGCTGCGGCGGCTGCTGCTGCTGCTGCTGCTGCTGCGCGATGGCTTGCTGAGGTGAGGCGGCACCTCGAAAACATAAACATCTTCACGCACCACCAGACACGGTCCACAAAGCTTGAGCAAGTCTCAGAAAGTAAGCCTGCGGCCTTTCTGCGAAGGAGCTATCTTCGGTGCCACCGGTGCACGGGCTACGTATTGTTCTGCCTGACACAGGGTGCCGCAAACAGGTGGCAACACACTGGCTCTCGGTACTGATGAACGGACCCTAAACCCTAAACCCTAAACCCTAAACCCTAAACCCTAAACCCTAAACCCTAAACCCTAAACCCTAAACCCTAAACCCTAAACCCTTAGGGCCTATAATGCCTAAAGCCTAAAGCCCTGCACCCTAAACCCCATTCATAGCTGGTGTCGGCCGAAGAGCCGCTTGGATGAAGGCAGCAGGCCTTGGAAGGAAGCTGGGAGAAGCCAAGGTTTGAGTTTAGGGCTTCGGGCTTTGGGATGCTTACCCTTATATTGAGAGTCCTGGATGGGGATTATGATAGGGGTTACTATAATCCCTATTCAGGACTGCTGGTTTTAGGGGGAACCTCCCAAGTTTTCGGGCTCTGGGCTTCGGGTTCACGATGGAACACCTGCAGTGCGGAAAACATTTACAATGCCCCAGCAACACACATCGAGGGTGTCACTTGGCCTTCACTCTGTTGAGCCACTGCTTCCGCCACTGAGCCACTCCCTGAAACATGAAGCCCCCCCAAACTGTACATGAATGAGTAAGAACTTGAAGGTTCTCGGGCGCCGTAGAATCCAACAACAGCAAATTCCCGCGACAAAACGTCGGCAAACCCCCTGACAAACAAGTAAGAGACAGAACAAAACAACACAAGTTTCAAATAATAGCTCCAATCAACTGGCGCCTATTGCAGCCCCTACTACCAGTTCTTTCTAAACGTTTGCATATATAACTTTTTGTACATATCCATATATATATATACACACATTCACACAATTATTAATTGTACGCTGGCAAAATATGCAGACTTGATAGTAGAGCGGTGTGTTGGTTTAACCCGAACCCCAATGTAGCCTATGTTTTGAGGGCGCAGGCGATGGCCTTCTCTACCTTGGGTCAAGCATGTTTTTCTGTCCACCACCGCTGCTGCCACGTGGTCTCTCCTAAACCCTGGACCCTGAACCTAAAACCCTGAGCCCTAAACCCTAAACCCTAAACCCTGGTATGACCGATTTGGAGCTGCGTGCTGGAGCCCGTGACTCTACAAGTCTGCACGGCTTTGGGGCTGTCTGTTTACAGGGTTCGGGATCAGGTTCAGTCTGCGTGGTTAGGGTCTAGACCCAGAAACCTCGATTCTTCCCAGGGTCTAGGGTTTAGGGTTTAGGGTTTAGGGCTCCATCCTGCTCCTCAACTAGGGTTCAGGGTTCGCCCTTCACTTCCGCGCTCACGGTGGGCCGCCCTCGCTGCCTGCTTCCTCCTGGCACCTCATGCACCTACGCGGCCGGGTTTAGGGTTTAGGGTTTAGGGTTTAGGGTTTAGGGTTTAGGGTTTAGGGTTTGCAACTTGGGACTGTCGTTGGAATACAAACCTAACATCCCCCGACTGGAAAGTTGGGTAATTACAAGTAGGGTTCCAAGTCAGGTCAACTATCTTATAACCAGAACTAACGTACTCGCAACCCTACTTCTAACTACCCATGAACCTTCACCCCTGCACCCCGGCACCCCTGAACCCCTAAACCCTAAACCCGAAACCCTACTTATAACTACCCATAGAACATGACATGAGAAGCTTCGGGCAAGCTGCGAAGGCTTCGGGCGTGATGGGTTGCGAGGAATTTTGGCTTGACTGTAGAGGACCTTGGGGCGAGAAAAAAGGCCCTAAACCCTAAACCTAAACCCTGAACCCTAAACCCTGAACCCTAAACCCTCAACCCTTTGCTCAGGTGCGGGCCTGCAATGGAAGCCGCGACCCTGGAGCAAGCGCTCGCGTCTTTTGCTGCCGGCCTCTTGGGATTGGAATGTTTCGGGTTCAGTTCCTAAACCCTAAACTCTGAACCCTAAACCCGAAACCTAATGAAGTTCAGACATTACCTGAGAAACGACAACCCTGGTGGTCCAAGATCCAGCAAAGGGAGGTCCAGCAAGCAATTATGTGGGGAAGGGGCCGGTTTGGGTTTAATCCGAGATGCACACATCTAAACCAAGCCCTCAGCACGCACCTGAACTCTGCAAACCCCATGAATTCTGCAGAGCCGTGATATGGCCGAGCTTTGCCAAGGTCTAAGAAGGGAAGAGGCGAAGGTGAAGACAGCCACACACTCCCCCCACCTGAGCCCTGACGGTTTAGGATTTAGGTGAGGGGTTTGGGGTTTAGGGTTTTAGGGTTTAGAGTTTAGGATTTAGGGTTGAGCGTTTAGGGTTTAGGGTTTGGGGATATTGGAAAGTACCCATGTTGAGAGGTGCGGCAGGGGGGGGGAGGGGGCAATGGCTGGCTGTCGAGAGACAAGCCTTCATTGAACACACCCTGAACCCATGAACTACTATTGGCGTCAGAACCCCCCATAAAAGAAACAAGAGAAAAAAAACACTTATGTATATATTCTTCCTGATAAGGGTAATATGGGATTGTTACCCTTAATGTTGGGGGGCTCTTAAGCAGATAGTGGTGAACCCTCAACCCTAAACCCTAAACCCTAAACCCTAAACCCTAAACCCTAAACCCTATAAACCCTCAACCCCTAGAACAAAGGTACCCTCCATGTTGGCACTGCAAGGGTTTGACCTCGGACAGCAGCTCGCTGGGCAGGTAGCTCACCGTCACCTTGGAGGGTTCTTAAGGGCTGGGGGGGGGGTTAAGGGGGGTAGGTAACTAGGGAACTGTAGGGAAGCTGGGGGAGCCTTTTGGAGTAGTGGGGAGTACAGGGGAACCTTGGGCTACATACCCCGCCTGAACCCCCCTCCCTTAAGAACCCCTACAGAGCTTCACACTCCTCTACAGGTGCTTAGGACAAGAGATTGAGGAGCCTAGGGTTGAGCCACCACCATAAAAATTGCCTCGTGTTGCAACTATCTTTGCCTTCTGCACTTGCTGATGATGCTTCCCACGCTGATGAAGGATCGCTGCCTCCATCTTGACGGACTGTGCTGGAGAGGTTGCATGGGCTCCAACCAGCATCTGCCGGGTGTAGCAGGCCGCGCCACGTCGGCAACGGCCCCACTCAGGATCACCACAGGCCACTTACAAGTGGAAGGGACAGCGCTGGTTCAGGCATGTAGGTAGAAGACAGCACTTCTGTCGTGCCTTTCAGGGTATCGCCATCGTCTGCCCCACCAATTCTTGGAAGACCGTTAACGTGCCGTCCTAGGTTTCCTTACAAGTCTTAACTCCTCAACTGGGCTCTTGCTCCAGGAACTTGAATTAAGTTGTCGTAGCTGGGCTCTTGAAGCCAAGAATAGACGAGTCATATTGTAGTTCTGAGTTTCAACTCTCCTTAACAGGAACTCAGAAAGCCCTAAACCTAAACCCTTTGCTCAAACCGCAGAGACTCAACCCATCCTACTGCAAGCCCAAATTCATCCGTGAGCTCTAGGCCCTAAACCCTAGATCCTGGACCCTGGGCACCCAGTCTGAAAGGTCCTTCAAAATCTACAGGAGACTACTATATATATATATACGCTATATTTGGGGGTACGGGGTACCCCGAAGCTTGGGACATGCCCAATTCGTCAACCAGAGCAGAACTGCGATTGCCGCCTCCTCACCGGCCGGAATGGCAGCAAGAGATTTTACCACCAGCCTCGGTTCAGGCTAAAGGTTTCGGGCCTCAGGGGATTGAGAGGTTTGGGGTCTAGGTTTGGGGTTTCGCTTAGGGCTTCAAGGGGCCTCAGGTTTGAGGGTTCAGGATTGCAAGCCGCAATTAAGGTTTGGCATTTCCTCTTCAGGGCAATCCCTGAACCCTTCAAGCCTACGCCCTAAATGCTCGAGTCTCGCAACTCGGACCCTGACAATCGGGACCCCAAACCCTAAACCCCAAACCCCAAAAGGGTTTCCTGCCAGGGGCTGCAACTCTATTTGCTCATTTCTCCCGAAATTGAGGCCATGTGTGTGGGCATCATGGACCCTGAATCTTCAGCCCTATAGATACTGCAGAGGGGTACGGATTCAGACACCGATTAAAGCGATCATATTGTCGAGGACTGATTTGTTTTTCGTAGTTGTCGTTGCTATGAACTCATCGTTGTTATCACGAACTGGCTTTAAGGAAAGCATGGTTATTTCCCAAATAGGGGGTACACCCTTTATACCCCGAATAGAATAGACGCGCCTTTAAGGGACCCCCAAAATGGGTACCCCTATTTTCGGAAACCCCCCCGACATTCATGCCCTGCGAAGCACGTCCCACGGCTGCTTTCGAAGACAGCATTGGGCCTGGGCGCGCACGCCAACTCACTTGTTTTGGCAAGACCCAGAGAGCCCAAAGCCCCTTAACTAAGGAATAAACCTTAAATTACATCGGAGCCCTTAGTATGATTTCAAGCTATATTCCTACAATTAAGAAATATACCTTAAACCTATATAGGGTTCCTTAGTCTGATGTAAGGTGTATTCCTTAACTAAAGGGGAATGGGGCTGTTTGCTTATCGGGAGCAGCGCTTTGCGCGGCTACGAGGCTACGAGGTTCCATTAAGGGCTTGCTGAACCTTGCCTGGACCCTCAAAGCCACAAAAAAGTTCACTGCAGCCCCCAAAAGCGCCAAGGCAAGGATCAGCCCAAGATGCAGGAAGTTGATGTGCTTGCGAACCAGTATTCCAGAAAGACCTCACCCCGAAGAACGCACCCAAAGCCAAACGACCTGAAGTCGATGCTACGCCGAGCACTGCAAGCCCTCGACCCCAAGAATCTGCACCCTAAACCCATGAACCCTCACCCCTCCCCCTCCCCCCCCTCTCAACCCGCCGCGGTGCGCGCAGGAGTGGTTGAAGCGCGCGCCGGCCACGAAGAGTGCAACTTGGCTGGGATCCTCTGCAAAAAAGGCTATAGGTGCAAAGCAGATCACCTGGGATTCTATTTGCCTACAGCTTAGTAACAAGCGTGCCCCCTAATTCGTAGCCATAACCCCGTTTAAAAAATGTAGGCAAGACATGGCACAAGAATGGACCCTGCCACTGTCTGATTTCAGCAGAGAACAAACGAACCAAAGCTACGTCCTGCGTGCAGTACAGGCAGTTGGCTTCCGCGATTGAGCCTGCGTCCCATGCCCAGCAGGAGCAGTGCAGTACTGTGTGACCCACTCGGCTTCTCAGGCAAGGTGCATACAAGAATCTGCTCTTTCATGTCTGCGTCCATTTCGGTGTCATCGAGCGTGGCTCTATCATGGTTGTCCTTGCTGACAAGGTGATTTCCAACCCGTGACTCACCCTGAGTCTCCCTCAACCCTAAATCCTAAACCCTAAACCCTGAACCCTAACCCCTAAACCCCGCTATGTGGCGGCCTTCTTGGGTCCAGCTTCGCTGGAAGCACCCGAAACTCCCCAACCTCCCCAAGGCCTTACACATAGAGGGAGGTTTAGGGTTTAGGGTTTAGGGTGATCAGAATGAGAATTCTGGGGAAGGGTTTAGGGTGTAGGGTGTAGGGTTTAAGGTTTAGGATGGTTTAGGGTTCTGTTTACCAGGATGGGCTATTCTACCCTACAACCCCTCAAAAAACCCTTTGCGGGGTTTCTAAGGCCCAATAGCCCATCCTGGTATCCCGCCATAAAGGGATAGGAATATAAGCGTCGAATAGAGGTGAGAATGTAGGCCGCGGTAGTACCTAAGCAAGTCCCACCCCTTTGAACCCCGACGCTGAGTGTCCCGGAACTAAAAACCCTAACAGCCCTAAAACCCCTAAAAACCTCAAAACCCCAAAACACTCCAAAAGCACCAGAAACCCTAAAAAGCCCCCAAAAAGCCTAAACGCCCTGCACCACAAGACTGGTAAAGCCAGGCTAAACCCTAGACCCGAAGCCCTAAGCCCCAAGCCCTAAGCCCTAAACCCTAAACCCTAAACCTAAACCCTAATTAAACCCTAAACCCTAAACCCTAAACCCTAAACCCTAAACCCTAAACCCTAAACCCTAAACCCTAAACCCTAAACCCTGCCAGGCATCCTTGGTTCCCAGCTTCAAGACCGAGGCATAGTAAAAGTCGGCTTGGGCGTCAGCGCCTCAGTTCCCAAGCAGAGCTCGCCACCCCACCGGACATAGGGCTTATAGGGCTTAGGGCTTGTAGGGTTTAGGGTTTAGGGCTCATAGGGCTGCGGCTTACAGGGCTTATGGGGCTTTTTGGGCTTAGGGTTTATAGGCCATATAGGGCTTATAGGGCGTACAGGGCCATGCAGGCTTGTACGGCTTGTGCTGAGAGTCAAGGGTTTCCAAGTTGATTTGCAGCATAACACACACTGGTACAGGGTTTGGAGTTGAGGGCTCTGTGAGGTGTGGGGTTGACTTCCGAACTCCCAGAAAACCAAAGGCGTTGGGGCTTGAAGGGGTACCACCAAGAATCTAAGACCTAAACGCCCAAATCAGAGCCCCGTTTCCGGTATCTATCATCATACGGAGCCCGCTATTCAGGGATTTTCTGAAGGGTACATTCAACTCTGAATCGGCATCTTCGCGAGAAGCCCTGTACCTTGTCAGCCTGGACTCTCAGCTTGAAACCTTATGTCGCCGAAATCAAGGGTATGGGTATATGTCATGGCCGCTGAGGGTTGCGGAAATGGAGCCTCGAGTTCCTGAAGATGTTATGAGGAAGCAAGTGCCTTCAGGATCTGGGGAGTCCACGCCAAGCTGCGGGCGCTGATTCGCCGATCGCGATGCCCCTTTCCTCTGGCAAAGAATGCACCATGCGGTTTAGGGAAGAACAGCAGAAGGCAACGGGCGCTGATGCCACAAACGATACCATGAACACCATTTCTGCTCACATTTGCAGCTGCCCTGCTGCTGCGAACTACATTTGTTTTTGCGAATCCCGACGCTCTTCTTCAAGTCATTTGCGCCCATTAATCAAGGCGACACATGCATGCTTTCATGTGATCGCTTCAGGTGAGGGGACCCCAGGCCACTAGGCAAAACAATCTGAGCTTCGAAAAGAAAACGGGCTGCGGTCTGCCCCAAAAATCTCCGTGCGGACAGATGTGGGCGCTTACGAGAATGAGGGACCCCCTAATATAGACCCTCAAATAGTAGGGTTCCCAGATAATAAGGACCCCAAATAAGGTACCCCCCTCCCCCCATGAGGGCCCCTAATATAGACCCTCAAATAGTAGGGTTCCCATATAACAAGGGCCCCAATAAGGTACCCCGTCCCCCCATGTGAAATTCCGAGTCTCGGATGGCTTTCTCGGCAATGAGATAGAAATATTCCTTCTCGCCTCGGCCGGTGTCAGTACAAATCCCCTAAACCCTAACCCTAAACCCTAAACCCTAAACCCCAAACCCCAAAACCCTAAGAAGGGTTGCGGGCATGCCAAGGTTCGCCCCAGGAACCCAGAACCCCAAGAAGCCCTCTAAGCATTACCTCATCCCCAGCTACCCGAAGTGGCTGAAGGGGTGCAACTTGAGATGTTCCCCCGTTTTGGGTTTAGGGTTTGGGGTTTGGGGTTTAGGGTTTAGGGTTAACAGGGGGTACTATAGTCCCTATTTTAAGGACTGTTAGTGTAAGGGGGAACATCCCAAGGTGCAGCTAAAGCCAGGCGAATCAAGTTCAGATTTTATCTTGGCAAACAAAGATCACAAAACACAATTCCTTGACAAACAGATTGAACTCTTGCAACATAGTCCATGCCGCATGGGAAGCTGGTGTCAAATTTTGATAAGGAGGGGTGGGGGGGGGCATTCCCACTGTGTAGCAAAACATCTTCAAAAGCTTACTTTCACTCATGCGTCACGATGTCTTTGTGAAGTTGCAACTTTATCCTCACAGCACTCTGTATCGACATTGTACTGCAACGCAAAGCGCTTGCAAACGGTGGGCATCAAATCATGACGAATGTGTCTTCACGTGGCTCGATCTTGCGTTGCTACAGGAAATGCACGGTGAGTCGATCGCCCAACCAGCTCGGTGGGGTGGGTGGGGGGCTGCCCTGAGACAGTGGTGCGTAACAGGCATCGATACCTACGACTTTTATCTTGCCACAACTTGGGATGTCCTGGAAGGTCTCCCTACCGAGGATACCGAAAGCAACACCAACCCCAACGCTGGAGGGCAAGAGGCTACATGTTTGGCTCATTTCAAGCTGCGTTGTTTTGCTTGATGCATCAGTACACACGTTGTATCCATTGCATCCATGCGATGCAGCCACGCTTCACGTTCGGCCGTTCCTGCCTGGCTGTTTCCCACGGATCCCGAACTTCAACTACACCAGACTGACTTCTTTGCGAAAAACCGCAGCAATCTTTATGACATTTCAAAGGCACCGTTCGTGGGCGCAGCGCAAAAGGCAGTGTCGAAGAGAAGGACATCGCCTGGTGACATGTCCTCGCGGCGCGAGGGAGATTCAGTTTTTGTTTCTGATCCATGAAAGATGGCAGATGCCGACAAATACGCCGTACATTCGTCCCCATGAACATGAGTACGCAGCAGCATTGGCTAGTTGTGGTGAGCCCTGTCGACCCTTCATCATTGTTCAAACCCTAAACCCTAAACCCTAAAGTGCTCTGCACGGTTCAGGCTACAGGGACCACGTGAAAGACTAAAAGCTTTGCCCCCTCCCTGAAAAAAACGAGGCAGGGGCTTTGGAGGGTTTGGGGTTTAGGGGAGCTGTTCTCAACCCGAAACAAGCCTCCTCAAACCCTTTGAACCTCAAAGCACACCCCCACCCCCCTCCCCTCCCTGTGCAATCGACCGACAATTCTGAGAGAACCTACCCCAAAAAAGGCAAAGGGTCTTGGGCTTGGGCTCTTGAGGTGTAAGGTTCCGCACGCCATGCTGGGACAAATTCTGCATTCGCTGAATTGGGCCCAGCGGCATGTTTCCAGCCCATATGGCATTTTGCAACATCAAGTATAGGACAAATAAGAATATGAACAAAAAATGTCAGCTTAACTTTTGCTTATTCAATCGAACTATATCTAACTTGTCGTGGGGTGTTGGTGGGTGCCTGGGAACCCCTTGGCTCTCTCCGACTGGAGAGCCCCTAGCCCAAAGGTCAGGGAGAATGCGGCGACCGGCTTCGGGTTCAGGAATTACAGAGGGGCTCGAAAAGGGAGAAGGCGCAGACCTTATCTTTTGTGTGCTTTGTTTGTCGCTGTCTCTCTCTCTCTCTCTCTCTCTCCCACAACTCTGGTTGACAAGTACTGCGGAGGTAGGTAAACAGGGGATCAGGATGGTTTAAGAGATATAAGATGGATTCGGAAATTTGGCACTCCAGTGAGGATAGAGTGCCTTCCCCAAACCCTAAACCCTAAACCCTAAACCCTAAACCCTAAACCCTAAACCCTAGGCGTTCTGGCTCGTAGGTTTGAGTAGTTTCTCCTCGGAGTCCTCACCTACTTGCCTGATACCCTAGTGTGGTTGTCCCGGTACTGGTCCGCCAGTCGCAGCACCGGGCCCCTAACCCACGAATCCTCGCGGGCCACACCTACGGTGCTTGGCTCGTTCTGTCTTTTGCTGGTACTGATCTGGACAACAGCCTGACTGACCTAGTCGAAGGTGCAGTTAGCAGTGAGCATGAGCACCCGGGCTACCCTTTCGATCGCGAGGTCCTGCACGCAGGAATGGGTCCGTGCGTTGTTTTCATGGCGCCCGGCGACTTGTCCCTGGCCCCTAGTGGTTTCTGGTTGCCCCCTTCCCTAGGCCCGGAGGACACCGAAAGCCTGAATCGAGCTGGCAGGGCATATGGACAGTATGCCTTCTTTGACCTTGTCGATCATGTGCGGACAAGGGATTTTGGCCCTGCCTGGATGCTCTTTGATGCTATGCAGGATGCTATCAGGCACACACGTGCGGGCCACATAGGTAGGATTAGGGTACTCCGCCTTCCTTTGGCCGCCCTCCCTGCACTCCAGCTTGTCCTTGAGCCGGCAGGCATTGCTCCCGACTGGGTTGTGATCCCGATGGATGCGAGGGCTGCAGTTGGAGTTATCTGCACTATTCTTAACCCGCATCAGGCCGCAGGTTTTGCACATGCATACACGGCAGGCCAAACCTGCCCGGCGCTCCCTGAGTCATTCCACCGCTTCATCGCGAGGGGGCACTGGTCCCTTCACAGAACAGATGGAGGGAATGCCCGCCCCTTTGACGCCCCAGTGCTTGATGATGATGCGACGCTGATTGTCCAGACCAGATGTGCAGGGGGTCATACCTCCTCTCTGGGCTCTCAGCCGGCCAGCTCTAGCCTGCCATCATACAGCAGTGCATCAACCTCATCAGTCACGGATGAATGGGGACGGATCACCCCCTTTAACTACATATACCGCGACGATGAGCACCCAACTGAGATGCATGTTGTCTTTCACGCAGAAGGCCTAAGGCCGTGGCGCCACTCTTTCCCACGCATTGCAACATCACAAGACCTCGCCCGACATGCGGCGATCAGAATGAGGGGGGCGACCGGTCAAGCTGCGTGGCGCATTGCCTTCCTGCCGAGACAGCCAGTCGTCAATAGTGTGCATCTACATGTGATGGTGCTACCCGCAGGTGAAGTCACGGACGCCCTGCCTTTCCTACTCGACTCAAGACGAGTCTTCGGCAGCCAGCTGGGTAACATCCAGTTGCTTAGGACCAGGCCAGGAGGGAGCGGGGACATGCACGGCTTTGTCAATGCTGCAGAACAAGCGCTGCTACAGGCCGGCCTCGCAGAAGTGCCCTTTGTCTTTCATGTTTCAGCGCACCGTCCCGCGGCAGTTGTGGTACCCGCTTGGGAGGGGCTCCCTGCGTATGTGTTGGAAGACACAGTGCATACTATAATGCAATTCCCAGGCCTCAGGCAGGCATCACTGCGTAGCACTGCCTTTTCTGCGAGGGAAACGCCCCGGCATGTTTCCACGACCACTACTACCACCTTCATGCAGCCGGACGAGCCTTTCCACTTTGTGCTCCCTTCTCCAAGACGGATCGTTGCCCGCCTTGGTATCCCCACGGGTACGTCAAACGGGCAAATCTTCAGAACAGGTTGAGCTGCCGGCGCTTTTGCACCGGCTTGCCCAACAGGCAGTGCGGAACCAATGTCTGCCGCCAGGGCACTCCATTGCCCTCTCACCGTGCCAGCCCGAAGCAAGAGCCTCTTACAAGGAGCTTCTCTTCCACCTGGTACCACCTCAGACCGAGGGTGAATCCTGCTATGTATGGGTCGACTTGCGACCAGCTGCGCCGTTGGCCTACTCAAGAAGCAGTACCACAGCAGGACCCGACAGCATCCCAACAAGGCTCCTTAATGTCCGGTCGTTGTTCCTTAACGCGCACTTGTGGGATGTGCAGCGCACGCTGCGGCATGGAGACCTTGTTTCAATGTCGATTACCCCCCAAGCTCCAGACGTGCGTCCCCCCGACCACGCAGCGAGCTCACTTGCCGGCATGCAAGCCCTGGCGGTTCCTCTGCCAGTCCCAAGCGACATTAACCTCGACCCAGCTGACGCTGCTGAGCTTGAGATCACCTCCGCTTTCATGTGGGATGAGGCAATTGGGGCTAGGCTTCGCGCAATGGGTTTCTCCAGAGGTTGCGTACTCTTCACTGTTGTTGGCCCCGGTTTTGCTTTTACTGCATCAGTCGGGAACACTCGCCCAACACTGTTGCAGATGGCCGACTGGGTCGAGACCTGGCTGGGTGGCAGCTTCCCGCCACTTAGGATCTATGAAGCGGGCACACAGCACAACGGTCGCTGGGCCTTTGTTGCAACACCAGGTCACATGGACCCACGTCGTGAGTTTGTGCTGATAACGACGACGGCCCCAGCACTAGCCGCCTACTTGCTTCCACATGGCACATCCCCAGCCCTGGCCGCATGCATCGTGCCCTGCCCTCAACTGCCTCAGAGCATGCCTGTGCTCGGAACTGCGTACCATGCGGACTTCTGGCCTTCCAGTGCTTTCGCTCAGTCTGAATTCCTTTTGTTGCAGACTACCCGCCCGCAGGCCTCCCCAGATCCCGCACAAGGCCGTTGGAACACCGCCGCTTTATGGCGAGAGCAGGTCACACCGGCAGCATAGAACCTGCAAGTTCCGACGCTGAGGGGCATAGTGGACACACTACCATCACTACCACTGATGCGGTGAGCACGACCCGCACCACCACTATCGCAACTGCACCCACGGGACGGATTGCACTGACCGTTCTTGCGGATGGAATCATGGTTAGCCGTGCCGCACCGGGCCTCGGCATCCCTGACCTCGTTGAAGCACTCATCGAGTGCATGATCGAACACATCCACCGCGCCCGTGCCCCGCGACAAGGACACCTGAAACTGGCACAGGTTATGCCACATCATGCTTCTGACCCGTGGAATGAGGTTGTCCTTCTTTGGTGTCCGATGGACTTCACTGTCCAAGTTCTATTGGATCTCAGGGCAATCCGGGGGGGTGTTCGGCAAGTTGAAGCTGGTGTTGACCAAGAAACGGTTGAGCTGGTTGCCGTTTACGTCAGGCAAGCAGGTGTGTACATATGGGTCAATGGAATCCCGAGCCACGCCTACATTGGACAGATGCAAGATGCTGATGTGATAACCGTTGCATGGGATGGCTCAGTCACGCCTGTTCTGCCGCGGTCTGTTGTCTTCCGCGCTTGGCCCTTTCTTGCACTCTTTGCACTTGATATCGTGACCCCCGCTCCATATGACCCCCCTCGGGAGCTGATGCTGATGATCCCACATCTCCGCAGGGAGATGACGGACGCGCTGGAAGTCAGGGCCATCAGACTCGGCTTTTGGTTGTCGCCCAAACGACTGGCCATCGTTTACAACCGAATGCGAGGAGAGCTGGCCATTTATGTCAAAGGACGACTCCCCGTCTCGTCGGCCCAAGTGACAGAAGCTCTCGCCATGATTGAGGAGTGGGCTGACGTCCACGACCTGCGCGATACCTTCGAGATGTCGTTCGAGACGGCGCTTTTCATCGGCAGAGATAGCTTCGAGCGCCGGTCCAATTTCCAATTGGTCTCCACGCCCTCCTTCCCACAAGCCCATCTGTTATGGCAAGTGAACGAGCAAACCCATGCCCTGGCACACCTCTTTCCCGCACCACAGCATCTTGTTGTCCAAGCGAGAGAGGGGCCCACGCATGGTCATGTCTTGACCTTTCGGCGGCAGACGGGGTCCGATGGCTACCATGAAGGCACTAGCTATGTACAGCTTAGCCTCAGCAGTGAAGCTGGACGCAGCAGGACCCGACCCTGCGATGCCCTCCGACTGGCTGCCAGCCCTGCTATATAGGTACCAGCTGTGCTTGCACGAGTTCGCCTTGAACCTTGAACAACAGCCCCCAGGGCCTGATGTCGAGACAGCTGCTCTTGCCACAGGGCCTTTCGCGGGCTGCCGGGCCCCGCG